AAAGATAATGAGTTAAGAAAGGTGGGGCCACAAATTCCTCTAGAAGAATAAGAAAGATGAATTTCTGCAAATGTAGACATGTTCAAGGTGAGAAAAGAAATTAGCTATGGACTAATCTCAACAGCTTAATTTGCTTCCATAATTACACTTGGAAAGGAGAAGGGAAAACAAAATTAAACTTTTAGATGTTTTAGGGATGATTCTCTTCTCAGAAGGCTAAAATATATCATAAAATATATAATTATGGTTTGTACAAGCATGTTTTTCCAAAACATTTTGTCTAGGTAATTTTATAAATGATGAGTAGAAACCACAGAGACACACTTGCCTCCCCCAGGAAGCTCTGCACCCTTCTACTCTGCATGTTGGCAGCTCCAGACTTTCAGGGGCAGGCCAGGACCCCTCTCCATTGATCCCACCAGCCAGGCACTTCTCTTACCTCTCCTTCCCTGCCTGAAGGGGGCACTCCACCCCATTCTGTAGGTAGGTGGAACCCTGTCCATCTGGGATTCATTTTCACATTGTGGTGTAGAAGATTTAAATGGACCCTCCTACCCCCCTGCCCCATCTCAACAGTCAGTGTTAGGATCCCCACTTATTGCGTATAGTTCATTCTTATTATGTGGTGTTTGGCCATGATGGAAAAATTTGTACTAGCTTATCGACAACATGGATTTTATTATTACTGAGATGATTTGGAGTTGGGGGTGGTTTTGAGGATCAGAAAGCCTGGAATACTGCCCACTGAGCCTTCTTTTTCCATATATTAACCTTTTATATATAGTAGGTTTTTTTATTCTTGAGATATTATTTTCCATTTATCTGCATATGTATTCTTGTGCCAAACTTGTGCTGTTTTATTTATTGTAGGCATATAGCACATTCTAATACTTGGTATGGCTAGTCTAACCTTTAATTCATTGTTCTCTAATTTCTTTTAACTATTTTCATGTTTGTTTTTAAGGTCTAAATATAGGCTCCCCCACCCCCAAGTGAATGTTAGCATAGACTATTTAGAACTTTTTTCTTGAAATATGAATTTGGCTGTTGCTAGCAAAGTATCAGTAGTTACTTTTGGGTATCATGAAGTAGACTGAAGGGATGTCCTCCATTAAATAACCAGCTAACTGTAACTCTACTAAAGAGTTTATATGCTTAATTTATAATCTGCACTTCCTTGAATTATACTCAGAAATAGTCTCTTCAATGCACCAGTGTAATTTATTCTCTTTTCTATATATGCAAACAGGTATACAAATCGGCTGTTTTCTATATCAGATAAGTATCAGCTACCTCTCTGTGAACTTAGAATATGATTTAAAGATTGCAAGAGTGTGTAAAACTGAGAGAGAGAAAACTTTTCACGGTAACCATGATCCTGCTTCTACTTATTGGTTTCTTCGTATCCTGCATTCACAAACAGTTTCAGGTTGCTTACAATAAAACGTTATTTTAAATAAGACTTAAAGCAATAAATAGAGGAAAGAAGAAGAAAACTAGGAGAGGAAAGGATGAAAAATGAGGCTGTATGTTAAGAACTTTTGGCTAGGCGATGGTCCTGTGAGGTGGAGTTAGCCAACTTCACAGCTCATCAAGAAGGCAAATGGATAGAACGGTCTAAGAACAATGTTTGTATAGACTCATTCACTTAGTTGAGAAGTATTTATTGAGCACCTACTATATGGCTGGCAGTAGGGAGCAAATCAGACTCAAATCCCTGCCCTCATAGAGCTTACATTTTAGTGGAAGAGTGCCAATAAACAAAACATACAACCTGTGTAGTATGTTAGACAGTAATAATTGTTAACGAGAAAAAAAAAAGCTCAGAGGGGAGATAGAAGGCATTTGGGGGAGGCTTAAATATTTGATGGAGTGGTCAGGGAGGGCCTCCTTGAGAAATTGACTATTGAATAATGGCCAGAAGCCACGAGGGAGTGGTAGGGATGTCAGGGGAAGAGAGGTGGTGGCAGAAGGAACAGCTGTTGCAAAGTCCCTGGTGTGTTTGGGGGAGGGCTGAGGGAGAAGGGACTGGGGAGAGGGAGGGAAGGGCGAGTGGTAGGAGGTGGCACTTGCAATGGCAGGACCAGTCCTAAATGTTTCAAGGTTCTTTGGATAAGAAAGGCTAAGCCCACAAATAAAGCCAAAGAAACTAGCCTTGCCATACTTTCTAATTTTATTCAGTTGTATATCAGGTTTTTTATGTACTCAGAGTTCCCAGCACTTTGAAGAATCAAGAGGAGTAATGGCGTATAAGGTACAAGTTTACAATTTCTTTTCTATTTGGTCCAACATAGGCCATTTTGAAATTTTAGCAAACATTTTAGGATGTACTTCTAAATGTGGTACATTACTGTTTATTTTTTAAGCAAATAAGAAAAGACCTCTGGATCCACTTGGCATTATGAATACTTAGACACACACCCACGTAAGAGAGCAGAGTGCTATAAGCTAGTGAACCCAGTGGTTTGTAATCATGTTTAAACAGCCAGAGTTGCAAATAATGATCCTTGAAATATAATTTCCTGTCATTCACCTACCTGCCAATTTCTCCTTAAATTTACGGGTTCCTGTAAAACTTATTGTGAAACTTGAGATGCTTGTAATAGTCAATTTCAGACTAATTTTATACTTTTTCCAGACAAAGATGTCTTAAAATTATGCCACCGAAGTCCTGTAGCCATTTTCACACTGTCTTATTATATTGCTGGCTGTTTGTTATCTGCTTATTTAAAGAAAATATAGTG